TGGCTCTGATCGGAAGGGTACAAAATGGAGGCACTTGATCGATATCAGAGTCGTTTAAGCGTGTTTTTGGCAAAGACGAAGAAAACGAGAAGAAACGGAACGAGAGAAAACACAATATGAGGTTAGGGTGGGAGGATGGAATGGTTCCAGTAACAGTGGTGCAGTGCAGACTTTTCCACGCTGGAATGCCGCGTTTCAGTATTCCAAGCAAACATCGGAACCCTCGACAACTTTTGATTTATAGGGATTCAGCGTTTAAACTCGTCGCCCCTTGTAGCCGACGTCCGCCATGTTAAATGGATTTGGTAGTTCAGGATCATGCAGAAGCTGCTAATAGTTCCGTCCACGCGGATCTCTTTGAGAACATCTGCATCGGGAAATTGACGAAGATAAAGTAATCATCGAATTAAAATTGTTTAGTGACTTTTGATTTATGGGACTTTAACATTTGCCACGTTTTTACTGTTATTTCATCGAACATGAAATTGTTTTCAAACGTCCAACTAGAATTTCCACTTTTTCATCTGTCGGAAATGCCGAACTCTACTCCACGATTTTCGCTTTTTGTTACTGACACAGGTTACACAACGAAATGATTTCTTAATATACCCAAGAATTAAGAAGATTAATAGCTCGTAACGTCCACTGGTATTTCTAAGAAAAGAAAATAATAATAAAAAAAAAAACAATTAATACGTTTTACCCTTTTTGCATGCATGTCTACTTTCGAGACACCCGATGTATTACACGGCTCTCGGATTCCTCCTTCATCTCGTTACACCGGATTCACTTGCACTTGACATATATACACCATATTATATCATGCAGTCAGCCTCCCCCAAAAAGTCACTAGATACTGGTTCGCGTAAGGGAGTCACTGAAATATCCGACCTATATATAGCCAACGGAAAAGTCCCTAGCAATTTTATCGCGTTTTCTAAAATTAACCGAACCGTGAGTCAAGTGACAGAGGAAAATGTCTCCTCTCGAGGAATTCCATGGCTGTTCCAACGTTCGACAGTCGTACCAATACCGTGACCTATCGGGGCCGACATCAGAACTGCTGTAACATCAGTTCAAATAGTCTCCTAATCCCGTGAGATTGAGCAGATCTCTCTCTCTCTCTAGACGGAAGCGAAGTGGAGCGGGCGAGGGGGCGGAAAAGAGGGAAAAGGAGGGGTCGTGCACGTTGCCTTGGCTCTGGACCAAGCCACGAAGAACCAGGGTCGTTTCGAAGTGGCTTGTGCAGGGCCTATGCCAACGCCTACCGAATCTCAGGTTTCTGCTAGCAGATCAAATGCGCCTCTGCTCTGGGATGATTAGCGATTTCCTTGGCGTTTCCAAGACGCGGGGTCCTCGTGGTGAAAGTCGGTCATCCTCTGTCAATCTCTGGCCTCGCTACAGCGTTGTTTCAGGATGGATAGTCTGGTAAAAAATTTGTTGCTTCATTGGCTTTTATTTCCTACCCCCTTTTAGGAACCTTATTCCCAGGAGGGCGATGGAGTCTGATGCACTTATTGAAAATTGGTGTCTTCTTACTCGAGCTATATACAGGATGTCGTCCAATGCAACGGTTGTGCAACCGGAAAGGGGATGATTCTACGTGAAAAAGCAAATCGAAAATATAAAGAATAAGATTTTTTCGTTCGAAGCTTCGTTCTCGAGAAAATCAATTTTGAATATTTATCGAGTGCACTTGCACTTGGTTATGGTTTATACGAATGGATCATCGATGCATGAGAATCGGTGGTACAATCGAGCAGGGGGTGATTCTACATGAAAAAACAGATCGAAAATGAAGAATAAAATTTTTTCATTTGAAGCTTCCTTTTCGAGAAAATCGACTTTGAATATTCACCGAGTGCACGTACACTTAACTTTGTCTATGGCGGATGCACCATTAGTACACTAGCGTACTCGGTGAATATTCAAAGTCGATTTTCTTGGCAACGAAGCTTTAAATGAAAAAATTTTATTCTTTATTTTCGATTTGCTTTTTCATGTAGAATCACCCTCTTCTTGGTTGTACCACCGATGTTGATGTATCGATGATCTATCCATCTAAGACATAGTTAAGTGCATAGTTACGTGTACTCGTGAATATTAAAAGTCGATTTTCTCAAAAACGAAGCTTCGAATAAAAAAATTTTATTCTACTTTTTCGATTTGTTTCTGCATGTAGAATCACCTCCTTCTCGATTGTACTACCGTCGCTAGGGCACCCTATATGTTAGCCCTAGTTACTTTTTTGAAATAACAGTATGGTTATTATTTGTTATGAAAGTTTCTCGTTTCCACGACAGGTTTATCAAACTCTGCTGCATATCTTAAGAATAGTGCCTCTTTTGAGTTATGTATAGTGACATAAAAATATATCAGTGCGTTTGCCCTAGTTACTTTTTGAAGTAATTATTATTAGAAAATTCTCTCATTTTCGTGACAAAGGTGTATCTATCAAGCATTGCTGCTATATGCTTCTTGCTGTTTTCATGAAAGATCCAAAATTCCTTTCTCAATTATCTACTTGTAATACAGGGTGACTCAATAGTGGACACAAAGGCAGTGCCGAACATCGCAGCAGGAGCCCCGTGCCTTTTCAAGATAACGCGACGAATGCGTGTGTATATGCGTGCATTGTATAGCTTCAAGTATGAGGTTTTCTGAATAGGCAGCGCTGCTTTTGAGGCCACTAGTGAATCACCCTGTATGATCCACGTAACGGAATACACTTGAAATCAACCCTTAACAATGCTCCATTGTTCATTGAGATCCACTGGGTGCGTGATACGGGTCTTGCTACGGTTCTCAAGAAGCGACAAGTCTAATAACGGGCTGGCAGTCGTCGCAATTATACCCATTATGCGAAGTGCAAGAGAGAATTGCCACCAGCATCGTCGATGCGCGATGATCCTTGATGCTGACGTTTGCTAGCGCCGCGCTTGAGAACCACTGCCGGGACACACGGTCCCAATGGCATTGGGTTGCTGCCAGGAGCAACATTGTTTGTCCGTGCAATATTTCGATAATACGAAATGCCTATCGTTCCACGGAGATTGATGATTATAGCAGTGGAAATATGAGGCAGAGCACCACTGGCCTTGGTGTTATGGCTGTACGCGTGAGCACAGCGAGACGTGAAAATGGTCTCACTTTGTTTCGCCGTTGTTTGCCTTTTGGTCGAATAATAGAATTTCGTTGACCTAGGATTAAGTCCCGAACTCGACTTAAGCGCAGTTTAAGCTGCGAGTCCATCACGGGCTTAGCCTAAAACTCGTTGTTATCGTTGATACGTAAGTAATAATGATGCTGTAGATATCGTCTTATTTCTATTAATAACTGCTATATTACACGATAGGATAGTATGTACATCGGTAACTAGTCTTATCTAAATATTGAGTAATTCGGTGTACGATATGGTGTACAGCTTCTAGGTTACACGGTTATCGACAAAGAACAGATTACTCGCGATAAGAGCAAACTTTCAAGAATACTTATCGTCCACTGACAATTGTTTGAAAAGTGTGCGTTATCCGTAAATAATTATTTGCTATCTCTCTCGGGCGAAAGGTGGTCAGCTATTCCGTTTATTCGCAAACCTCTGCATACCGGGTGTCCAGAGCGTTGTTAACCCTCTCACTAGACTTTGAAACGCACTGTCCATATCATACGGTAGGAATCCATTTGCGATGTACACCGAGAACGATGAAACTTTTCGTTAGGTGTGCATTTATGAGAAATTATTGTATATTCAGATAATAATCAAAACACTATATTTCACTACGTTAAAACAATATTATTTATTTCTTTGTATTCTATATTAAATTGTTACTGTACGTACTTAAAATTTAATAGGAAAAAGAACTTTTGTGCGCCTTTAGGCATCTACAATAGTTACTAGGTTAACCCTGTAAAAATACAGTGACAAAGGTAATTGTTATTTCATATCGCCTATCAGATATACTCCAAAGCCACCGGTTTTCGTATACAAAGAAGCAGAGGTTAATAAATGTTACACGTCGCTACTAACGTAACGTCTACGCCATGGTACTGTGCGTTCGAGAAAAGAAGGCACAGCGTGTTCACCGCTAATTAATTCCGTTGACACTCTCTTGATCACAGGTAGTGATTGCTGTTGGTCAAAACCGATGATGAAGATCATCAGGTCATTGTCTGTAATCATGGAAGTGTCAACGGAGTCAGTAAGCCATAAGAATGTAAACGCGCTGTGCCTTCTTTCCTCGAACGCACAGTACCAACATGGCGGTATAGGGAACGTTCTATGGCTTAACCTATACAGCACTCGTGTATTTATACAGCATACAAATTCATGAAAAGAATCAATGCAACTGTATGGAAATTTCAGTAAGACTTCACAGGAGCCGTAGTTTGACCACCACTACTCATGCTATAAACGGAATTAATTCGACATCGCATCGTTAATTCATCAGTTTATAATTTCATTATAACTCGATGGAATGTGCTCTTGTATTAACAGTTCGAATAATAAATTGTTATTAGATTAGATTGCAAGTTGAGAGCCACTGTAAGTGTTTCTACGTGGTCTCAATGATACGAGGAGAGGTCTCGCGGGCTCTAGCCGCCTTGCATATCGCGATCCTCGTCGATGTATCACTGTGAGCGTGCCTCCGTAGCCTCATATCACCTGCACGATACTGTTACTCGATTATACGAGGTTCTCCGCCACTTTTTTCCTCGTTCCAACGATGCGCAGAATCCACTGCCTCTGCTTTCCGTGCTTATTGGGACGGGTACCGTATCGAGTGGATCGTGAGTACTCAGAATTCGATTTTATTCGTTCACGGGAATTCGATATGGTGGCCACTAGAGCAAAATGATGCCATCTGTGATAAAATATCGAACTAAGCTTATATACGGCGAAATTATTTTTGAACTTCGCTGGATCCTCGTATAAAATACTATCTGATAGGTTAGGTTGAAGCACTCGGAACAGAAAATTAAGATTCCATTTTATGTTTCAGGAGGACGTGGCATGTGGACTCGCCTAAATGGTGGCTCTAAGGGGTCCCATAGGAAAGCATGAGGGAAAGAACACCCTCTGCCGACGACACCCCGAAAAGGGCCCCACCAGCGCCACCAAGAGGTCAGTTTAATGTTTAAACAAATGATCCATTTGTAATCACAGGTAGACTCGTAGAAATGGCGGAGAGTGAACGAATTTTGAACCTCGCCGGTAGATGTCAGACCATGAGAATTGTCCTTCGCTAACCTCTCGAGGTTTCACATGGTTAGCGAAAAGTTTCTGCGATGAATTTTCTCTTCGCACAGACTTCACTTTCTAGTATTAATGAAACGTGGAAATCAGGGAAGTTGAGAACGTTAGCCGGTCTAAATTACATATACTGAACTAATATCAATTAACTCGAGCGCTAGTTACTTTCCATTTATTGTCATTGACATAACCTAATTCCCAAAATCAAGTATACGTACGTTAAAATCAGCCATGGTCCCTCGATGCTATTCCAGCGACAGATTTACATTTATTACATTTAACCTAACCTAATTAATCTGAAAAGAAGACACGCGAAAACCCGCCGTAATCCCTTCATTCTAACCTAAAATATGATTAAAGAGTGCGAGGACATGACGGTATTCGCCAATTTTCTGCGCGTTAATTTCTAATCAGACGTTTTCTAATCACCCTTTAGACCTCATTTGCATGGCTGTGGCGTTCCCCGATTCAGGGGTCGCGTTCAATCTAAAATTATCCGCGCGACAAACGCTACCTTCGTTCTAACCTAAAATATGATTAAAGAGTGCGAAAACACGATGGTATTCACCGATTATTTTCCAGTTAATTTCTAATCGGATGTATTCTAATCACCCTTTAGACCTCGTTTGCATGACTGTAGCGTTCTGCGACTCAAGGATCGCGTTCAATCTGAAATTATCCACGCGACAAACGCTACCTTCGTTCTAACCTGAAATATGATCAAAGTGCGAGAACATGACGGTATTTATCGATTGTTTCCGAATTAATTTCTAATCGGATATACTCTAATCACCCTTTAGACCTCGTTCGCATGACTGTAGCGTTCCGCGATTCAGGGATCGCGTTGAATCTAAAATTATCCGCGCGACAAACGCTAGAGTGTGGTCCACGAGACTGCGGTCGTGCGATCGCTAGACGAGTGACGCGACTACTTTCGAAACACCCTGTTTGTGCGCATAGACGGCGCGTTTCTGAATGACGAGTTATGTAATCGGAGCGCAGGTTGCAGGTTGCAGCTCTGCCGGTGGTGCGCGCATGCGCGGACGCTTGCGAGCGTCACGCACCGCGACTGCCAACGATAAGCCGGCGATATTAACGCGCGATATGGTTCGCGGGACAGGTTATAGATGCTCATGTGTGCCAGTGAAGCTGTCATGCTCGCGAAAGGAGCCTTGAAGGAGCCTTCTAAGCAGTCACGTTCGCGAACACTCTTCCGCGTTGACGAATTCTGGTAAATTCTGGTGAACTTTTTACTCCGCTGACGTCTCATTTGTACGAAACGTTTCTAAGGTCAATGGTTACCGATAGATAAGGAAGTACGTAATTGCAGTCTTAAGCGGTTTCCATCGAGATTTGCAAACCAGTTCTTGGTTATTTTTGGATAAACAGGATGTTTGAAAAGTTAGCAGATATTGTCACAAGCAAAGTAATTTACTTAGGTAACGGAATTTCAAATATTGTAATTTACAATATTTTTTTTTTTAAATGGAATTTAAATATTGGTTTAGCTTAGGCAATTAACTTCGAGTGTACGGATAGCTTGAGAAATTTTGATCTGAAGTCTTATATTGGTTCGTAGAGAAAGTCACTAGGTTTTGACAGATGATTTTTCTCTTTGGTTTTTGAAGATCTATAAATCGGTGAAAGGATAAGTAAATTCGCAGTAGATCCGCATCTTTTAGACATAATATGGTGGCTGTTCCAGAACTATTACAGTTCCCACTGGCAGTAGCTAAATTAGAATTTTCCCGGAGTTTGCATCCTCAATCGGATATTCTTAGAATGATCTAATTCGGTTTCAAGATTAGCGTTTTCTTAGAATTGTTCAGGTCTAGGTTACCGAGTTACATTGTTGCTAATATCGGTTTCCATTGATAACTGTTTATTTTCATAATGTATATTGATACTTATGGCGCCAATGCCTCCATTTTCAAAGTTAATGATTGCTTTCTGAGCAATTATTAATTTTCTTCTTTAAATTCTTTTTCTTTTCTCCTTATTTTTATTTTTTTCAGATAAATTATATATTTATAACTAATCAAACTCTCAGGCAGTTCAGACCAATACTGTTCAGTGACCCATGGGACTTAATAGGATTTAGGTTAGGTCCGCTTCCACAGAGGTACAGCGCCCCATAGTGGTCGAGTTTAGCCATTTTCGCGGTTGCAAATGGCAGTGGGATTCCTGGTTAATTATTGTTCCGGGCTCGCGTTTCACGCTACATTATCGACCGGCAATTTGTGCTGCTCTTTGGAATGCAAACTGTTGAATTTTAACCGGTGTAGTAACAAAAACTGCTTTTTTACTTTGTTCACAAAATCATGTACCAAACTTTGAATTTTTGATTGGTCATATCGGTATTGTCCATAATACTTGAAAACAAAACTCTGTTTGCTTTATTCGGATTAAAACTACATACCCAAAAACGATTTTTGAAATTCCCTCTTTTTTCCTTTTTTTTTCAAATTAGTATTTAAATTGGCATTTAAATTGCTGTAAAAGTAGCAGAATTAGCAATTATAATTAGAAATGAAAACGAGTAAGAAACCGTGACGTGCCGATTAAAAATTAAAAATAGCTTAAGGAACGTACTTTGTATAAATGTCGAAAGATTGTTCGTCGATATAAATCAACTTAATTACGTCGAAGTAGTACGAAAGAAGACATTGCGAGACGAAGGAAACTAACGGAGAAAGATACCGGCATGAGCGAACGTGGTATAAGATAAATAATTTATTACAAAGTGCAATGAGAGTGCATCATCAGGTCGAAACTGAAAATGCTAATCGATAACGAGATCAGTGAGAAACATGGCGGCTCTGAATTAATTATCGAATAAATAATTCATTGGCGGAATCTGGAGGCATATTTTACAGAAATCAAAATGTAATATAAATATAATATAAATATAATATAAATATTATATAGGAGAAATTTGAACGGAAACAAAGGTGTATACATAACCTTACCTAATTGCGAGAAACGTTGAAACAAATTGGAAGAATTCTAGCAAATTTACTCTTTTATCGGGCCACGATTCTCCCATTGATCTGATGATAAACACGAAATCGATGCTTCCATTTTAGAGAGGTTAGTTTTACAGAAATAAAAATATAATATAAATATAATATAGGAGAAATTTGAACGGAAACAAAGATGTATAAATAACCTTACCTAATTGCGAGAAACGTTGGAACAAATTGGAAAAATTCTAGCAAATTTACTTTTTTATCGGGCCATGATTCTCCTATTGATCCGATGATAAACACGAAATCGATGCTTCCATTTTGGAGAGGTTAGTTTCCGCTGAAATGAACGGTCGGTAGTGATGCATAACAATCCGACGATTTTTCGAAGTAAATTTCGCTAGATGAACGAGGGATGGCGCTGGGCGATCGATTCCCTGCGAATTATTGGCTCGCCTTTGTTTATCGCCGATAGATGGAAGTGAAAAGTGCGAATGCGCGCGAGCCACACAAAGGCTGCTGACTATTCTAATTGATTGACGGACCGAAGGACGCTCGTGCGGTTGTCGTTTTAATAGACTGCATCGTTGTACAGTTATAAATTGCACGGTTAACAGTGACTTGAAGTATCTTTGCCCACGCAGCCGATGGGATAAAAGTGATCGAAAATAAGCTTCTATTATTGTATTTACGGACGTCGAAAATTTACCGAACTATTCTGCTCGAAGGTGGGACTACAAGAAACTTCAATATTTATTTATTTATATGCCGAATAAGTATGTGGAAGTACTATGAAAGTAGTTTCGTTAAAAGTGTCTCTGTAATATTTAGGTTATGGTTATGGATATGTTAGGTTAGGTTCGGTATTTATTTATTTATATGCCGAATAAGTATGTGGAAGTACTGTGAAAGTAGTTTCGTTAACAGTGCCTCTGTAATATTTAGATTATAGTTATAGTTAGGTTAGATTAGGTTCATGGGAATTTGAGAGAAGATAATGGATAGAGGGGGGAGACAGTCAAATTAATTATGTCAAAAAGTAATTTAGTTAGAAATAAACCTTTTTATTGTATACATTCTTTATGATACTATTTCACATTGGGAATTTTATAGAACAGGCTTTGTCAATATGTAGTAGATAGAATTTAGTATATTTATAGTTATATATAGGGCGAGATGAAAGTAAAATTGTAATTATTTTTTTCAGTCCTTTTTATTTATAGAAGATCACACAGTATACATTTTACACTATGAGTTTCGCAGCTATGAAAGACATTGTATGAAAACGAAGCTTTACCGTTTTGTAAAATCTCACAAAGAAATCTGTAAATAAAAAATACGCAGAACCGTTAAAGTTATAGATAATGGCGGCATAGAACTGTGAGTGGATAATTGAGGCGAGAATGAAGGTAATTTAAACAAAACAAAAGAATGCGAATTACGTAAGTCACGAGGGGAAACGTTAGAACTTGAATGGAACTTTAGACAGAGAGGAGCGAATTAACCACGTTTAACGATTACCTTTCGAGAAATACAACGTGTCAGGCCGCCATGTTGACTTCTCAGTCCTGCCAACGGAACGGGTGTAACGGAACGAATTTTTTCCCCGAGAATCGTTCGAGAATATCGTTTTCATCCATTCGGGAAGTTTTAAGCGCAAAAGTTGCGATTTATGCTGGGCTAGTCGAAAATGGCGAGTCGCGTGCGACGCGAGCTGTGATACTAGCGACGTCTCGCCTTGCGAAGGAAAAAAAGGACGGCCATATGCATCTCCTACAGAGAATTGGAAGCGTGCTGGTGCTGCGGGGAAGAAAACAGAGCGGTGCAATTTGATGCAGCAACCAACCGCTGGTAATAAAAAGATCGATTTCAAACGCGTCGACCCTTGCTTCGAAAGCCAACACC